GTTGATTACATACTGATTGAGTAATTGAAACTGCATATAGAGATATTTTGGGGCACCACAGTATTTTGAGTATTTCACTAAAAATAAAGAGAAAGTTTAGATTTAGTAGATTTAAAAAACGTCTGTTTTTCATTCTGTTTTAAAATGTATGTGCTGCTGGGTATTTTAAGAAAACCAAGCAAAATAAAAAGATGTTTTATGCTGTAGCTGTTTATATACAGTACAGAAAGATCTTCAGGTTTTTATAGCTCTGCCATTAAGAATTTGACTCTAAAGCCAAGCTACCTGAAATTCAATCCTGGATCTGCTACATACAAGCGTAAATTACTCTATCTTGGGTAAATTTTTTAATATCTGTGTGTCTTAGTCTCTATATTTGTAGAACAAGGTTAATAATAATATGGGGGTATTGTGAGATCTAAATGAGTTAATATTTGCAAAGTACTAAGAATTATGCCTGACACACAGTAAATGTTCAGTATATGGTAACTGCTGCTGCCACCATCACCACCACCATTGAGTTACATTATACAAACCCCTGGTGAGATGTGGGACGCACCTTTGGAATTTCTGGTTGAACCTTACTAAGTTATCATATACTTACAATATAAGCTATTTGTCTTAATCCGAGGTTCTACATACCCTTTTCTGCACCAAAACTTGATCTGCCCAGACTGTAACCACATCTATGGAATAATGAAGTATTTTGTCATGGGGTTTTACTGGAGGAGCAAATTTAAGAAATGGCAGAAGACCCACTAGCTTTTGGAGTCTGTTCCTTTGAGACCAACTTGCTAAAAATCCACTTCCTGTCTTTTTAAAAAGAGTATATTCGTTTTCTTTATTGACATTCTGTAAATAAAATCCTGGCAGCTTGTATTTTGTGGAATGTACTGTCTTAAAGTGGATTTAATTTTCCTTAGTAAACTGCTTTTAATAATGCATCAGAGTAATTTTTCTTCCTCTGTTATCAGGTTGCTATCAAGATCATAGACAAGACCCAGCTAGACGAAGAAAACTTGAAGAAGATTTTCCGGGAAGTTCAAATTATGAAGATGCTTTGCCACCCCCATATCATCAGGCTTTACCAGGTAGGTCACTAGTGGCGTAGTGTATGGCAACAAAAAAACCAGCCTTTGAAGAAAAGGTGGGTGGGTGAACATCTGCAACTTTTTTAATTTCTGTGTTCATATGTTCATCCTACTATTTTCCCCACCCCTTTGTCCCCCCACTCAGTACTCATGTTTCCTCTGGCTATTTATTACTAAGGTTTACCTTATCCACATAGACGTTTTTAATTTGTTTTTTTAAACTTAGATGCCATTCTTAGCGAGAATTACACAAAAAGATTATTTGGAAGATGATGAGAACTTACTTATTTANTTGCAAAAATGAAGTAAGAGTTAAAAGAACTCTGTTTGGAAGTAGGAATTAAAAGGGGGGAAGTGGCCATTTCCCCCCTTGTAGAATGAATAATAAAGAACTGTGCCTTTAAATTTGGCACAATCTGAATTTATTTATTTATTTTCCCCCATGCCAATTCAAAAAGGAGAGTTTGTTGAATGAAAATATCTTGGGTAGGGAAATTCTTAAGGATTCCCACAATCTGTATCTGTTTAGCAACATATTTGATACAATGCCATTTTTAATTAATATTAGTGTCAATTCACAAAATCATGCTCTTTGCAAGATATAAGAATTTTATGTACTGGTAGAACAGGCAAACTTAAGGAATATATGCGTATGGTCTTTTGGTAATGTGTTGGAGGTTTCCTTCTTGTTATGCTTTTCATATGTAAGTGCAAGTATGTGATTAATAGATTTTCAACACCAATCCAAAAATACTGTTTGAGAGTTTATCTTCTATGTACCTACCAATTTACATTTTGCTATGGATACATTTAATTTTCAAGCAAGTGGTGTGTACTTTAAGCTAAAAATGTTTATGATGTATCCTCCAATAATCTGTAGCAGTAAAAATTCATGAACCTTGATCTCTTCAGGTATTCTCAAAATAATCATACCTGCTTGCCAACGACCTGACTTGGTAGTTTCTCTGTTTCATTGGTGTTTTTCTGCTTTTTAGATCATCTCCACTTTCCAATTTGCAGCCAAGGTAGGAGCTGAGCTTTAGGAAATTGCCTTCTCTGTTAAGTGGCTCTATCAGGCACATGTGCCAAGTGGCCCTAAGTGTCCTCCTTTCTGGTGTTAGCTACTTAGTATGGCTGGAAGGGAGCCTGGTCTGCCATGAAGAAGCAGACCGCTCTCTCTGGCACAGTCCTCAGGATCAGATCTTGCTGTGGGTTCCAGCTTGTGGGCCAGTTTGACTTTCCTAAATGGAATGCATTTTTTCCCAGCTGCATTCCTTCCACGTTCTTCCACATCAGCTGGAAGCACTTGGTTGGTTCTGAATGCTGCCCACAAAGTGTTAGCTGTTTTGCTTCTTGGCCCCCCAACCCGACCCCTGAGTTAAGGAATTGATGTATTTCAGATCCTGGATTATGTTGCTTAGTGACACAGATCTAATCCTTGTCAAGGAATGCCTGAAGTTCAAGGCTTGATTCTAGAAAAGTCAAATAAATAATAGGCAGTACCTGTAATTCATGTATGTCGTGTGTTTACCACATGCTAGGCACTATACTGAGCAGGTTGCATGTGTTAGTTTAGTTACTCCTCAGCAACCTTCAGCATAGGGTCTATTGTTGCCCACATTTTATAGATTAGGAGCCTTAGAAAAATTAAATAACTTTCTCAAGTTTATACATTAAGGGACAATTCCAAGATTTTGAACCTAGGCAATTGGACACCAGAGTCCTTCCTTTCAACACTATATTCAGCTGCTAGGCAGAGCTTTATCTTTCTATGTTTTTTTTTTAATTGGGGAACTGTGTTTTTCCAGGACCAGTCAGCTCCAAGTCAAGTAGTTGTTTCAGTCTAGTTGTGGAGGGTGCAGCTCAGTGGCAACCTTGGTGTTATGAGCACTGCACTCTAACCACCTNATAACAGTACCCAGAGGTGCTACAACATATTATCTAAAATGTCTAGTTTCCAACAACAAGGAAAAAAACTACAAGGCATACAAAGAAACAGGAAAGTGTGACCCGTACATTGGAAAAAAAGCCGGCCACAGAAACTGCCTGTCAGAGAGACCAGATGTCAGATTTATCATAAAAAGACTTTAAAGTAGCCATATGACATGTTAACAGAAACAAAGGAACTCACAATTCAAGTAGTAAATGAAGATATGATAATATATCAAATAGAGAATATCAATGAAGAGATAGAAATTATTAAAAAGAAGAACCAAGTAGAAATTATGGAATTGAAAAGTAAAATAATTGATATAAAATAATTCATTAAAGAGGCTTACTGTAGATTTGAACTGGCATAAGAAATGAATTTGTAGATAGATCAATAGACATTATGCAAGGTGAATATTAGAGAGAAAAACAAATTAAGCACAATTAACAGAGCCTCAGAGAAATGTGGGACACTATCAAGTGCGACAACATATGTATAATGGGAGTACCAGAAGAAGAGAGAGAAAAAAGAGCAGGAAAAGATATGCAAGGACATGATTGTAAACTTCACATATTTATTGGAAAACAATAACCTTTATGTCCAAGAAGCTTAACAAAATCTAAGTAGGATTAAACACTAAGAGATCCACAAACATATATATCATAGTACAAATAGTGAAAGTCATAAACAAGGAGAAACTATTGAAAGCATAGAGAGAAAAATGATGCATCACTTAAAGGGAACCCTGTGAGATTAACAGCGGATTTTCCAGCAGAAACAATGGAGGCCAGAAGGCAATAGGATAACATTTTCAAAGTGCTCCCCCCCCCAAAAAAAAAAAAATCAACAAAAGCAAACCATTAACTGAAATCCTACATCCAGAAAAGCTATCTTTCAAAAATGAAGGTGAAATATTTTCTCAGATAATCAAAACCTGAATTTGCTATCCTGACAGACCCACCTTACAAGAAATACTAAAGTAAGTTCTTTAGGGTGAAAACAGGTGACACCAGATGGTAATTTAAGTCCACACAAAAAGCAGGGAGTACCAATAAAGGTAATTATGTAATTATAAAAGGCAGAAGAGATCCATACTTTTCTCCTTTCTTCTCTTAACCTATTTAAAAATCAGTTATATGAAATGATATATAAATTATATGTAATGAATTGTTAGGCCTGTAATGTAATGTATGTGTAATATACTTACCACTAACAGCAGAAAGGAGGAATATGTGAGAAAAATATGCATTGGGTCAAGGAAATCACTACAGATGGTACAGAAATAATTATAACAATACATTGTTGGATTTGTAACATTAGTTGATGTAATATTTATTAAAAAATACTACAGAAGGGGTAAAACAAATAGAGCTATGCAAAAAAAGGCATGAAATATATAGAAAACAAAAAGTAAAATAGTAGACATAAATCCAACTATATTANATATTTGGTAAGTACATTTATTGCATTCTTTAAACAGCTATTGAGCACACTATGGCAAACCTAAAATAGCTGTTCAATGCCTTTGTCACTTGTGCAGCTGTCACTTGATGCTATCCTTCAGGGCTGTTATTTTCTATCAATAAAGTAATTTTAATATTTTTTACTCACCTATTTAAATCTCTTCTCCATCTTCATTTCTTTAGCAGAGGTGTTTTATTTATTTCAATCAGGTGTTGACAGTTGAGATTAAAGATCTCCAAGAACAAACATCCCTTCTGAACATGGGACTGAGGGTCTTTTTGATTGCCAGACTAACTGGGGTTACCAAGGGTGACGGAACTCCCACAAGTGTGTGGGCCTCTGTTGTGTGAGAAAGAGCCACTTGGAGCAACCAGTCTCACCCTAATGCATTCTTTAAACTTTGTTTAAATATAACATGTAACTATATTCCTTACCATGTGTTCACAGTTCCCTTGATTCTTGTAACTTTGGAGGTTCTGTCTTCAGTAGCTATTTTTTTCTTGAACACAGCATCAGAATTAAGCAGGATAATTTATTACCAGGAAATCTGACTTTTTTAGGTGGTAAAAACTGGCCCCCATTGTTTTCTTTTTTTGGGGGGGGTGGGGAGGGTAACAGTAATAAATGGAGCCAAGTAGAGGTAAAGGCTGAACTTACAAATCTAGATTGACATGTCTTTTTATTTTTTAAAAATAATTTATTTTTCAATTTGTCTTTTTATTTTTCCTTTTGGCAAGTAACTACAGAGAAAA